ATGCAGTAAGGTTTCAACTGCGGGAAGAGAGATTAAAAGAGAAAAAAAGAGAAAGAATAAAAAAGGCAGATGCAAACTAGCACACCCTTGGCAGAAGGAGTCAGCACAGAACACAAGAAAGACTTAAGAAACGTAAGTGAAGAGTCAGGAGAGAATGTTTTTTAAAATCAAGTGTTGACTGGACTTGGGAAGAGCAATGAGAATGCCAAAAGCAATGAGGCAATAAGGAAACATGGCCCTTCATGTCCGAGATGCTCACTATAGATGCCAATATGACCAGTTTCAGATGAGGGAGGAAGGAACGAGCCAGACTGAAGGTACTCTAGGACGTGATTAAAACAGTTTTGGACAGTATGTTTGGAGAAGTTAGGGATAATGGGAATAAAACTGAGTGACAGTTACAGAAAGTTTTTATGATAAAGAAGTTCTATGACTGCCTATACTTAGGTAAAGTTAAGGCCGTCCAGAAATAGAGGGGAAAAAAAAAGAAGGCAGGGTAAAGTCGAAATATATGACAAGAAAGAAAGGAATAATGAGACACAAAGAAAAAGAAAGGAAGTCAATATTTCTGTGACAACACAATGAGAAATGAATGTGGAAAAAGTGTTAATGACTAAAGCAAGTCATGTTGTATTAGAACTATTTGTTTTCTTTGCAGAGGTAAATGAGGTAGTTGTGATAGAGTCTGCTTTCAGATAGGGAGCTCAAAAAAAGAAACACGCTGTGAAATCCAAATAAAGCTAGTCACATTTTTTGTAAGAAACACAGATGTAGCTCTGTGTGCCAAGTGAAGAGGTAAGGACATACTGATAAACAGCTAAAATGTCCCTAGGGAAGAGTAGCTCAAGGGTGAGCATGCTGATGTAGAAGTGGTAATCACTGTCCAGTAGTCAATGTCTTATCAGTAATCAGAGTTAGCATTTCTCATTACAGCAGTACAACTGAAATCCAAAAATTGATCAGAAAGCTTCTTAAATCAGTGTGATCCTGTAGGAGACAAATGATTCTCATAAGAAAAAGAACCAAGTAGGAGGAAAAAAATGAATCTCCCCTTTAGGTTGCAGCATTGCTCTGTTGATTACCTTGTAATGTTTCTCCTAGCCAGTAAGTGCACTTTATTTCCAACTTCTGGCCTTACATCTACCTCCTCAGCCTTGTGCACAACATTTACAAAGCTCTAGCTGGTCAGCACTGGGAATTCTCTGCCTTTCCTCTGAGTATTAGTTACATAACAGCTTGAGCTAAATAATCAAAGCGGTGATAGGTCAAAAGGAAGATTTGCCTGAGGTGATGCAGAGTTGATGGCAGAGCTTGAAGCTGAATATCCGTTTGTCTGCTATTTTGGCAGCACGAAAACCACCCCAGTCTCCTTCAACAGCTAGATTTTGTTGGCTTTTTTCAAAGCAGCAGTGTTTCTGAAGGCAAGTGAAGAAATGCAATGGCTTTGAAAGAGCAAGTAAACCAAAGACACATCCCCAAATAGAGCATCTTTCTAACTCTCAAAGCTACTTTCGTGACATAACTAATGAATGATTCTAACAATAAATATTTTCCACATCCACGTCTTTTCCATGTCATTTCAACTGCTTTTAAATCACTGAAGTTGTTGAGAAGAGTGGAGAAGGAATAAGATGATTCTGCTGAAGTTGTCTTTCACTTGGTTGCTACACTCTCCTCGTTCAAAATATTCAAGTCCAAATATGCTATAGCTCTTTGATATTTATATTTCTAGGAATAAAAGACTTTGTTCTATCTTTTATAGATAGTCATTGTTCAGTGTCCCTCATGTCTGTTTTGAGGGAATAAATGACAGCTATTGAAAATTTTAGTTGGTAGGTGCTGGCGACTGCAAATGTTGAAATTTACAGGGATGATAAACATYTTTTGACATTGCAGAACTTTGCAACATTTACCTGTCAACATGCAGGATGTAGTAGATGTACCARGCAGGGAACTAAGAGTGCTTAGACTCCCAGGTCCACTATCTCTGATAACAGCACTGATTAAGACGACACTTAACCCCTGCACATTAACGTGTCAAAGTGTCAGTCAGCAGATGCTATAGGCGTAGAACATATGTGATTCACAGAATGGTTGAGGTTGGAAGGGACCTCTAGAGATCATCTAGTTCAAACCTCTGCTCAAGCAGGGACACCTAGARCACAAGGCACAGGATCACACCCAGGCACATTTTGGATATCTCCAAACCACTTATCTCCCACCCTCTCAAGCATATTCCTTAATTCATGCCATGAGGTCTTTCCCAGAACTTCCAGGATTTTCTCAAGTTTTCAGGATTTTCTCATGTAAATGAGTTTACCTGGTCATCATCTTTTTGAGGAAATGTCTTCAGAACTGAACACAAGGCATCTAGAATTTCAGGTAAGAAAAGCTGTCAAACAGATTTTTCATGAATAAAAGAAATGATTATCAGTTACAGTGATARTTGTTATTATTTTAACCTTCATGCCACACAATGAAAAGAGAGAGCAAAACACCCGTTCCTATCCCAGGCTAGAAAAAAATGGATCCAAAGAGATGGGAAAGATGGGCAGCAAAAAAGCAATTTTGATTCATCCAACACTAGATACATCAGTACAGGCCTACAAAGTCTTTATAAGCATGAAGGATCATTGCTCAGGGGCAGTTACGCTGAAATTACACAAGACGTATTTAAAGCTATATATATTTTGAACAATTTTTCTGGGTTTTTATTTTTGGGGAAACTCATCAAAAAATACTTAGGTAAAAAATATTATTTACAAAAGATGTCTCTTACAAGTCTGTGGAAACATTGCAGGAATGCAGTGTATCATGAATTAATTCTTGACATAAGAGGATTACAAATTCTGGGTTGATTTTATCATTTGATTAGCACAGTTTCTGCTGTTTACTTCTGTGCGCGTTCCAAAGGCAGACTGAAAATACAGTAACTGCTTAGGGGCCTTTCACCCAAACTTAGGCACATGTTTCCACCAAGAAGTGGAGATAAAAACCTGAGATCTGATTAGGAAGTAGCTAGATAACCCCCTGCAGCACTTACAACAGCAGAACACTATCACTGTACCGTGTAACAGGACAGTGTTACAGTGCGATATAATATTGCCACAAGCAGCTTTGTCCAAAGCAGAAATATAGGCAGGAGAAAAAAACAGGGCACATGTGACTTATCCGAGGTGGATGGTATCAGGTTACCTGATTATACGTGAGCTCTCCATGGCTTAGGGTTTTTTGGTTTTATCAAGCACCACCGTGCTCTCCGGGCTGTGAAACTGCTCTAGTGCTCGGAGAGGCAGCTCGTGAAGCCGGCGCTGACCAGGACTCGTTACGGGTGCTGCGGGAGAGACGCATCAGAAAGCACGATGGGGAAACCACTGTGATCTAGGGCCATGTGTCTTTATTTTTTTACAGTGAGGAGAAAAGAGGGGAAAAAAAAAGAAAAAAAAACAAGAAAAAAAAAGGAAAAAAGGAAAAAAGGAAAAAAGGAAAAAAGGAAAAAAGGAAAAAAGGAAAAAAGGAAAAAA